TAAAGATATCTAGCACTACTGTTCAGTAAATCTCTTAGTCTTATTCCCGATCAATTTGTATTTTGTTTTATACACAAATGTCGGGTTGCTGCTGCACCATATAAGTACACAATACTCGCCTTTTTTCCCACCGTTTGCTTTGTCAAGAACAGTTTGCAAACTGCAACTTCTTGTAAGCCACAGGCAAGGGTTTAGTTATCAACATAGACAACACTTGATTCAACGAGATGGCTCATTTCTGCTCCGAAACATGTTTCGTAGTATGTTTAAGATAGCGTGTCTAACGTGTCTCATCTTCCAGCAGTAAATGACAGGGTTCAAAGATGAATTAAGATAGATCAGAGTCACTGAAAGAAGATGAAATCTTTTCAAAACGATGCTCGAGCCAAAGATTCTGATGGCAGCCGAGCTAATTAGGGAAGGCAGAAAACAAATCATAAATAAGACATAGACGTAGAATATACCAACTGTAGATTTAATGCGGGCAGCAAAGTTTTTCATCGCATCAGACTGAGCTCCACCTCGTATTTGTATGGACTGCATCTGATTCTTGTGCCGTCGAACAGTTAAATATATCCTGATGTAAAATACGAATGTGAGAATGAAGCCAACTGCTGTAATAACTAAACCAATAGCATCCCGAGTGCTACGCGGCCCCCACAATGTTATTGAAGATAATAATACACTGAATACCCATATTGAGATTACCACAGTAACAACGCGCTTGTGAGTCACAAGCTCTTGGTATCTGAGGTGAAGATGAACAGCTAAGAACCTTTCCATACTTACAGCCACCATACCTAGGAACGAAGTACCTGTACATAAATAGCCATAAATACTCAGCATTAGGTAAATGTCACAGCTAGGAGTCTCTACTTGTAACCACTTGACAAGAAGTGAAATATACAGTGGTTGACCAAATAAACCGACCGCCACATCAGAAAAGGCGAGGTGCAGAAGAAGCGTTTTTAAAGGTTTTGCAATCGTCGAAGCTTTGTGCAATGCGTAGATTGTCACAATATTCAACATAACGGCGGTATAAGTCAGAAAACTGTTGAAGATTAAGTTGGCCATGATAGTTGACCTAAGTTCTTTGAAATCGACGTTGGAAGGATGATACTGGAAGGACTCGTTACAATAGAAGTCGCTCATGGTGTCAATTCCGTTCAGTCTTGAAAGAAAAATGGGAACTTCAGACACAATGTTATTTTACTCTCTGCAGGTAGATTATTTCCTCTTTCGACACAAAAGTGTCACTCTCTTTACTTTCTTCTTGAACTGTTACCTTTGCCTACACAAATGTGATGCTCCTAAGATAAGGGGCCAGATGTCGTGATGATGCTGCCACATCAGCTCACTTTTCTGATGTATGACTCAGGAGAAAGACGTCGATGTAATGAATTATTGAGTATGACTCAATTACATAACAAAACCAGCTATGCTTAAACTGAGACAACAAGCCGTTGTGCAATTTGAATATCTTATTGGGTGCATTATATCGTATAAATAGAGACTTAAAAAAGTCCACAAACAGATTTAACTTACTTACAATTGTTATTGAAACGTTCATAAGGCTGATTATCATTAATGTCATGGAAAGGCATAAACCGTTTTTAAGAAAAAAACAAAAACTTTTTGACAGGTGGGTCGCAATAGGGTTAATTGTTAGCCGTGAAACGGCCAAAAAAATTGCTGTTACGCATACAACATTCACAAATTTTAACCGTTAGTCGCAAAAAAAGTTGACGGGTTTTTTTTTTTAATTACAAAGGAAGAAAATGAATCGTTAGCCGTAACTGGCCATTATTTTAATCGTTAGTAATAGAGACCCCATTCAGACCCTCTGACAGGTGAGGATATTCAACTAAATTTTGGAAGACAATAATGCAAAAGTCGAAAACATAGAAGCCCGAAACCTTAATGTCATATCATCTTTCAAAATGAATTTTAAACAATTTCTTGGGACGCTTTGGCGCCTCTTCAGACACTCTTGCAATTAAAATATTTAATTATTTTATTAACACGAAATTCTAACCGTGTTTCTTACGTGTAATTGAGCCGTGGCAATCTCTCCTTCCCAGAGTAAAGTTCTCAAATTTACCCCTCTCAGCAGAGGCCTGAATCACCTACCACTGTCCGGGGAGTTGTTGCTAAAAATGTCGGTGGAAAAGAAGAACTGTCAATTAATTAAACTCGCATTTTCATAAGTTCATGCACGTTATCACAAAAACAAA